TTTCTGAGTTCTCTAAAAGAAAGGATATTTGAGGACACAGGCAAGAAGGTGGGCGACTGCAAGCTGGAGAGAAAGCCTCTCCATAAATCAAATTAGCCATCCCCTTGATCTTGGACTTCCAGCCTACAGAACCAGGGGAAAAGAAATTTCTCTGTGTAAGTCACCCAATCTATGGTATTTTATTATGGCAGCCTGATCAGCTAAAGACTTCAGTGTGTGGCAGTCAATTAAGCTGTTGTCAGACAGGAGCAGACTTTGTAAGGGGGAAGAAATGACTTTTTTTTTTTGCTTTAGAATAACAGAGATTCAAGTTCCATAAGATAATGTAGTAGTTAGTGGAATATCTATTCCATTCAGAACAGAGAAACAGCCAAGGAACAGTAAGTCTATCGAATAGTTCTAGGTAGGTAGATAGCCTAGTGGGGATTCAGCTTAACCTTATTTCTTCACCATATATTATTATTATTATTTATGAGAGAGAAAGAGGGAACACTCCTATCCATGGGTACACTCAAGAATGGCTGGGTGGGCCAGGGCTGAAGCTGAGAACCAGGAATTTTCCAGAATCTAGGTCTTCCACATGAGTGGCATGAACCCAATTACTTGACTCATCACTGTTGCCCCCCAGGGCCTGCATTGGCAGAAAAATGGAATCAGGATCCAGAGCCACAAATTAAACTCAGGCACTCTGATGTGGAATGAGTGCACCTTAACCACTAGGCTAAATGTCTGCTTCCTCTTTCACCATTTAGGTAAGAGTAAAGGGTTAAAAAGCACACTTTAAAGACATACTCCCAGGGCCGGTATTACCAGGTTAAGTTGCTGCCTGCATTGCTCACATTCCATATTGGAGCTCTGGCTCAAGTCTCGGTCATTCTCGGTCATTCTGCTTGTTTCCTACTTCCTGCTAATGTGCCTGGGAACGCAGCAGAAGATGGTCCAAGTATTTGGGTCCCTGCTATCCATATGGGAGACCCAGGTGGATTTCTGAGCTCCTGGCTTTGGCATGGCCTAGCCCTGGCCGTTGCAGTCATTTTGCGAGTGAACTAGTGGATGGAAAATCTCCCTACCCTGCTTCAATAAATAAATAAGTCTTTAAAAAATAAGCAATAAATACATCTTAAAAAAAAAAAAGAGCCAAGAAGCAAGATGTGATGGGATGTTCCAGTAGGATGTTCCATAAATGGGAATGAAAGTTAATTTCCTGGAGTTGCCTGGGAGTGAGGATCATTTATCTTGCATTACTAAAGGTCTAGTAAATATCAAGTTCAGAAGGGCCTTAGGTCTGGCGCTATGGTGTAGCGAGTAAAACCGCTGCCTGCAGTGCCAGCATCCCATATGGGCGCCTGTTCGAGTCCCAGCTTCTCCACTTCCAATCCAGCTCTCTGCTATGGCCTGGGAAAACAGTAGAAGATGGTCCAAGTCTTTGGGCCCCTGCACCCGTGTGGGAGACCAGGAAGAAGCTCCTGGCTCCTGGCTTCAGGTCGGCTCAGCTCCAGCCATTGCGGCCATCTGGGAAGTGAGCCAGTAAATGGAAGACCTCTCTCTCTCTTTCTCTCTCTCTCTCTGTGTGCCTCTGCCACTACTTCTCTGTAACTCTGCCTTTCAAATAAATAAATAAATTTTTTTAAAAGAAGGGCCTTAGAGGTTAGATGGAAAAGGAGCGTATTTTCATAGTAGAGGCTCAGTTTGGACAAGGACAATTCCCTATTTAAAAAAAATCATGACATTTGGTATTACAGCCACTGGGGAAAGGCAGAAATCTTCAGAGGAAGCACATCTAGATAAAGCATTCTTTCTCCTCATTATTATTACATCAAAACTGCATCATTATTACAACCAAATTAAAACAAGACAGGGGACTATTTATTTTAGGAAAGAATAGTCTTCCTGTCATCAATAACATAGAGTGCTTAAAACTCCAGATCAATCAATTATGTCTTATATTAAAATATAATTAGAATTTTGTCACTGAATTCTTTTTTAGATTTCTAATTACCCTTAAAATTTATGCTTTATTGATATATATGGACATTATATTTTTTAAAAGATTTATTTATTTTATTTGAAAGTCAGAGTTACAGAGAGAGAAGGAGAGACAGAGAGAGAGGTCTTCCATCTGCTGGTTTACTCCCCAGATGGCCACAATGGCCAGGGCTGGGCCAGGCAGAAGCCAGGGGCCAGGAGCTTCTTCTGGGTCTCCCACACAGGTGCAGGGGCCCAAGGACTCAGGCCACCTTCCACTGCTTTCCCAGGCCATTAGCAGGGAGTTGGACTGGAAGAGGAGCAGCTGGGACTCAAACCAGCACTCATATGGGATGCCAGCATTGCAGGTGGTGGCTTTACCTTCTATGCCACAATGCTGGCCCTGGACATTACATTTTAGGTTACTTTCCTTCTGTTCATTTTTGTACCATTTGAATTAAATCTTATCAACAAAAGGACATATAATTACAGGATTAATTTTTTAGTCCTTTCTCAGTGTATGATTCAGTGTTTAATGGATTGCCAGAACATGAGAGGCTTCATATATATGAGGGGGAGAGGGAGAGGGAGAGGGAGAGGGAGGGGGAGGGGGAGGGGGGAGGGGGAGGGGGAGGGGGAGGGAAGACGGAGGGGAAGAGGGAGAGAATCCATTTGCTGGCTCATGCCCTAAATGCCAATGCCGCAACTAGGCCTGGCCAAAGATGGGAGCCAAGAACTCAATCCAGGTCTCCCATATCACATTGACATCAGGAACCCAATCACTTGAGCCATAATCTGCTGCCTACAGGGACTGGGTCTTTATTAGCAGAAATTGAGTCAGGAGCCAGAGCCAGAAATCAAACCCAGGTCTTTTAATATATCATATGGGCATCTTTAAAAAAAATGATTTTTATTTTATTTGGAAGAGGGAGAAGGAGAGGGAGAGGGAGAGAGAGAGAGCGCGCGCGAGAGTGAGAGAGCACTTCTAGCTGCTGGATCACTCCCCAAATGCCCACAACAGCCAGGATTGGGCCAGGATGAAGCTAAGAGCCCAGAACTTAATCTGAGTCTCCCACATGGGTGGCAGGTCCTCACAGGTATGCATTAGCAGGAAGCTTAATCAGAAGTGGAGGAGCCGGGACAGGAACCAGGCACTCCAATATGAGATGTGGGCATATCAAACAATGTCTTATCCAGTACACCAAATGCCTGTCATGAATAAGAGTATCTTAGCAGGCATATCAATCAATAGACTAAATGCCTTCCCTGTGCATTATATATGTTTTTATATTTATTTGAAAAGGAGAGGGAGGGAGAGAGAGAGAGAGAGAGAGAGAAAGACTATCTGCCGGTTTACATCTCAAATGACTGTGACAACTGGGGCTGGGCCAGGCTGAAGCCAAAAGTTTGGAACCCTATCCAGGTAGGTGGTAGGGGTTTAAGTACTTGGGTCATCTTCTGCTGTTTTCCCAGGTAGATAAGCAGGGAGTTGGATCTTAAGTGGAACAGTCACTCATATGGGATGCGGGCATTGCACGCAGCTTAACCCACTGTACCACAATGCCAGCTGATTCTTTGTGTTTTAATTTCACTCCCACAAATTTTAAAGCCCTCTTATATATTTAATACCTGAGTTTCAAATATAAGAAATATGATAATTTTACATGCAATTGGGTATAGGTTTGACTTAAGATCCAAATACTCTAGTTTCATATAGTTTCCTGATACAAAAATTAATTTTGTATTTTAGAGAACAAAAAGTAATCCATATTTTTGTATAGCTAGCACATACAAATGGGGCAAAATTGTAACTTAATAAAGAATATAAACTGAAAATTATGTCTCTCTTCTAAGTTCTCCAGTTTCTCCATATGAAGACAACCAGTGCTACCATTGTCTTCTGTTTCTCTCTTTTTAAAAATTTTCTAAAATAATGTTTTGTTCCTTTGAAAGAGAGAGAGAGAGAGATATCTCCTACCCACTGGTTCACTCCCCAAATGCCTGTTCCTCTTCTGTTTCCTTTTATGGATAGTCCACAGTGCATTGATTCTGGCAGCCTAAAAATGTTGCTAGTTAAGGTAAAAACTCCTCAAACCTTTCCCTGGAAGCCATATTCCCAGCACAGATAAAGAGATAGTTATCTGAACCATTTCTAGCTGGACAGAACACAAATGCAGATGCATTTATCATGAACACACCACAACCCACTTAAGCAATGCAAACATTTAATAATTTTCTTGGTGTGTCTGGAAACAAGTAGACGCTTTAGGTAGGCTGTTGAACAAGGCGGGGGCTGGGGGGAGGGGGAGGGATGTTTTTATGCAAGATAGCATCAGTGAGAAATTGCTCACTCTTTCCCAAGGAGTTAGAGGGGATTTAATCAAAGAGGTGCTGTGTAAATGACAGAATGGAGAAACCTTGGCTCAAAGATGCAGCAAACGCATTCCAGCATGAGTTGTGGTCTGAGGGAAATCTTGGAACTGGGATTTGGGATAAAAGAAAGAAAGTAGTGTTGAGGTTGATTAGTGAAGAGCAGAAGGGACGAATTAGATTGGCAAGAAGAGGCACTGAAGTGAGAGTGAGGTAATTTGGGATGAATGGTCCATTTACATTTGTGTATAGTGAAGGCTTGTATACGAATCTGTAGACAGAAGTCAGTCAGTTTCTCTATATTTACTATGCCTCCTATATTCCTAGTGCTGCCGTTAGAACAACATTTAGTCCAGGATTTTTCTCTAGCAGAGGCACCAAAGAATGGATTGTGGAGTAGTTTGGTAGATTTCCTACATTATATTCTTCTCACAAGTTAACTCTATTTGCTAAACAGCCATAACTTTCCTTAATAGCTTGCTATGGATTGATCATCCACACATTTACGTAAAATAGGGTTCCTCAACCTTGTACTTATTGACATTCGGGTTGAATCATTCCTTGTTCCAGGAAGCTAGCTGTCCTGTACGTTGTAAGATGATTAACATCATCATTTAAAAAAAAAAACAAGATTTATTTTTTATTTTTTTTATTTGAGAGGCAGAGTTACAGAGAGTGAGGGAGAGAGAGAGAGAGCTTCTGTGTGCTGGTTCATTCCCTAAATGGCTGCAAAGGCCAGAGCTGAGTCAGGCCAAAGCCAGGAGCCAAGAGCTTCATTTGGGTCTCCCACGTGGGTGCAGGGACCCAAGGACTTGGGCCATTTTCTGCTGTTTTCCCAGGCCCTAGCAGAGAGCTGGATTGGAAGTGGAGCAGCTGGGACTCGAACCAGCGCCCATATGGAATTCTGGCACTGCAGGCAGCAGCTTCACTCACCACAGCACAGCATTGACCCCAGCAGCATCCTTGATGCCAGTATCATTCCCTCTGAGTTGTGACGACCAAAAATGTCCCCTGGGGAGAGAGGAGCAAAATCCCCCTCATGGAGAATCACTCATGCCAATCCTCATAAACCTATGATTATTTTTGTTCTGTAAAATCCCTATTTAAAAATTAGAATTTTAAAATGTTTATCAAAGTATATATTCATGACAATAAAAATTATATAGTGCCAAACAACTTATTTGTAATGAAAAGCTAGTCTCCTGCCCACTCCCCCCAGCTATAGTCCCATTCCCTAAGGACTTGGGCCATCTTCTACTGCTTTCCCAGGCCATAGAAGAGAGCTGGATCAGAAGTGGAGCAACCGGGACTAGAACTGGCACCCATATGGGATGCCAGCACTGCAGGCAGTGGTTTTACCCACAAGGCCACAGCACTGGCCCCAGGATTACCACTTTTAACTCTTTCTGGTTTGGGCTTTTCTATCTATTCCTGACATATTCATTCACCTTGTTATTCATTCATTTAAGTAAACTATTGAGCACTGTGTGTATTGGTTAGAGCTGCCATAACAAAATATCACATATTGAGTGGCTTAAACAGCAGGAATTGTTTTCTCACAATTCTGGAGGCTAGAAGTTCAAGATCAAGATGCTGCAGGGTTGATTTCCTCTTAGGGATGTTCAGGTAAGTGTCTGTTTTGGGTCTTTCTCCTTACCTTGCAAATGGACACTCTCTTATTGCCTCTTCCCATGATTGTCCCTCTGTGCACATGCATTCCTAGTGTCTCTTCCTCTTCTTCTTAGGATGTCAGTCATATTGGAGTAGGGCCCCACTGTGGCATCATTTTAATTTAACCACTTGAGTAAAGACCTTGTCTTCAAATATAGTTACATTCTACTGAGGGTTGGGGCTTCAGCATGAGTTTTGGAGGATGCTTGAAAAGTACCTACTGCTGTGGGCCAGTCACTGTTTTGAGCACGGAGATAAGCACAGGTAGATAATCTCTGCTCTGGTAGAGTTTGCATACTAGTGGGGAAGAACAACAATAAACAGGTAATTCAAATATGCACGTAGTATGCTAAAGGACAGTAAATGCTATGGAAAAAGATCAAGGAAGTGAGATAGGAGTTTGGAGGTGGGGAAGCTGCAGTTTTCTCAGATAGGTAAAGCCAAGGAAAGTGCTCAGAGAAGTGGACATCTGAGTAAGAACTTGAAGGAGGTGATAAAGCAAGCCATGCAAATATTGGGAAAAGATAATTCTAGGCAGAAAGAACAGTCGGTGGCAAGGTCCTGAAGTGGAAACATGCACAGTTTGTTCAAGGAATAGCAAGGAAGCCTGGTGCTGGTGCAAAATGAACAAGGACGCATAACAGGTGTTGGAGATTGTGAAGCAGCTGATTATGTAAGGCCTGGTAAATCATTGCAATGACTTTGGCTTTTGTTGTGAGTGATCTGGGAAGCCACTGGACAACCCATGGGTGACAAGGTCTGAGTCAAGTTTTAAAAGAATCTCTCGAGCTAGTGTGTTAAGAATAGACTGGAAGGGGCAAGAGTGAAAGCAGGGAGACCAATAAGAGGGATATGGCAGTAATGTATTTTCTTGAAATCCCTTTTAGGCTTTACCAGCTTTAGACATCTCGTATTGACTTCCTGCTCTGATGGATGGGGATTCAGCTCACTTACACTACAGCTCCAACTTCTCCTCCTAATACATCACTATTTTTAGTTCCTCTGTTTAGCTCTTCTCCCCACAAACAGTCCTTCTAATGTGGACCTTTTAGCTAGCATGTGCTTTTGGTTATCTCTGTGCCTCTGTATGATACACATACACCTCTCATTTTTGTTCATTTATAGATAATATCTTTGGATTCTACACTTTTCTAAAATTAGAATGTTAAGGCTTCTATTCACCCTCCCACCTCCTGTAATTCTACTTTCTAACTTCTGTAAACTACCCTTTTACATTAAGTTTGTTAACATTTACTTTATACTTTGTAATCATAATTGAGTTTCCTGTGCTTTGTCTCTGGGTTGGACTCCAAAAGCTGAAAACCAATAAAGGCAGTGTTCATATTTTTATGATTACATATATCTTTTTCAGTGCAAAGCCAAGGGTTGTGCCTTGATAGCATTTTCTTCTCTATAGTTCCAATGTCACAACTTCTATCAGTTACTCTATATCATTCCATGTTCTAGTTACCTTCATTATTGGAAAATGACATTTTGGGACAATATTGTATATTTGTTGAATTTCTGATTGCCTTTTTTATTGCTTTGGGTAGACTAAATATATGCCTTTTTCACCATTTCACTACTACCATCCAGTTTCTTTCTCATTTCAGTCTATTTCTCAGAGTAAATTCTATTCTTGAAGCCTGCTTCCTGTGTTAATCCAAAGCAGTTCTTCACATTTGACCCATGGACTTCTTGTATAGGTTTTGTTTTTCTGTTTTTGTTGTCCCCCACCTTTTGTTTGCTTCTTGCATTCTGTGCCTTTATTGTGTTCTCAATGTTTCTAACCCTTAATTATACCATTTCTTGCCAATTTCCCTTTCTCCTGCATTTCTCCTTCTGTGTTCTCTATGACTTTTTTTTTTGCACTGATTGGCTCCCTAATTTGGCCTTAATCTTTGTGTGTTCAGTCAATATCCTTCCTTCTAATTTCTATCTTCCATAAATTTTTGAAATTTATTATCATCTGATATCTCTCTTCTCTTCTTTGATATGGACTTATGCTTTTTCAATGACTGTACTATAATTCCAATAGTGTCTTAGGAAGGAGGAGAGATAGATGCATGCAGTCATTCTGCTATATTTAACAAGAGGTACACAACCTTATAACAATTGTTTAAATCTTTATTTTTTAAGCCCTAAAATTAATACATGCCTCCTATAACTAATTCAGACATTAAAGAAGTACATAAAGTAAAACCTAAAGGTTTTCTCACTAGTGTTAAACCCCAGAGGTAACCTCTTGATGAATATCCTTCTAGATTTTTAAAGTAAAATCATACACATAAGCACACAATTATTTTACTTACAAAAGTGGGATATTATTAATCTTTAGAAAATAGCTTTTTAAATTTAATGCATACTGGGGACATTTGCATGTCAGCACATAGCCATTTAATTTTTTAAGAATAAGGGTGGGAGTTGTGATACAGTAGGTTAAGCTTCTACTTGAGACACCAGCATTCCACATCAAAGTGCCTAGTTTGAGTCCCAGCTACTCCGTAGTTCCAATCCAGTTTCCTGCTAATGTGTCTGGGAGACAATGGATAATGGCTCAAGTACTTGGGGCCCTGTCATCCACATAGGAGACCCAGATAGAATTCCTGGCTCCTGACTCCTGGCTTCAGTCTGGACTAGCCCTGGTTGTTGTGGGCATTTGGGGAGTGAGCCAGTGGACAGAAGATCTCTCTATATTTCTGAGTCTCTTCCTCTCTGTCATTCTGTCTTTCATATAAATAAATACATTTTAACACATTTAATAAATACATTTATTAGGGCTGTCATTGTGGTGTGGCAGGTAAAGCTGCCACCTGTGACACCAGCATCCCATATAAGCACCAGTTTGAATCCTGGCTGCTCCACTTTCAATCAAGCTCCCTGCTAATGGCCTGGGAAAGGCAGTAGAAGATGGCCCAGGTGTTTGGACCCCTGCCACCCACATGGGAGACCTGGAAGAAGCTCCTGGCTTCTGGCTTTGGCCTCTCTAGTTCTGGCCACTGTAGCCATCTGGGGAATGAGCCAGTAAATAGAAGATCTCTCTCTCTGTGTCTCACTCTTGTTCTCTCAATCTCTGTAACTGTGACTTTCAAATGAATAATTTTTTTTTAAAAAGGGGGATTTATTTATTCATTCTTTTTTATTTGAAAGGCAGAGAAAAAGAAAGAGAGAAATAAAAGAGACAGAAACAAAGAGATCTCCCATCCACTGGTTCACTCCCAAATTTCTGCAACAGCAGAAACAGTCAAGAGCCTGGAACTCCATCTAGATCTCCAACATGGATAGCAGAGATCCAAGTACTTGAGCTGTCACCTATTGCCTTCCAGGGTGTCCACTGGCAGGAATCTGGAATTGAAAGTGGAGCTGGGACTTCAACCCAGGCACTCTGATTTGAATGCAGGCTTCACAAGTATCATCAAATGCCCACTCCAAAATATATGTTTCATGTAAAATTTTTATTGAAATATATATACACACACAGAAAGACAAATGTCTATTATTTTCTGTAGGTATATCTAATTTTTTTTTAAAGATTTATTTATTTACTTGAGAGGTAGAGTTATAGAAAGAGGGAGAGACAGAGAGAAAGGTCTTGTATCCACTGGTTTACTCCCCAAATGGTCTCAATGGCTAGAGCTGGGCCAATCCAAAGCCAGCAGCCAGGAGCTTGTTCCAGGTCTCCCACGTAGATGCAGGGGCCCAAGCACTTGGACCATCTTCTGTCGCTTTCTCTGACCATGGCAGAGAGCTGGACTGGAAGAGGAACAGCTGGAATATGAACTGGTACCTATATGGGATGCCAGCACCATAGGCAGAGGCTAAGCTCACTATGCCACAGTGCCTGCTTGGGCCATCCTCCTCTGCTTTCCCAGGTGCATTAGCAGGGACCTGGATCAGAAGTGGAACAGCCAAGACTCTAACTGGCACCCATATAGGATGCTGGCGCTGCAGGCCAGGGCTTTAACCTGCTGCACCACAGTGCCAGCCCCCTCTTTGCTAATCCTTGGCATTACAAACAATGCTATAGAGAAATACTTGAACCTATATCTTTGTGTTTGTATTTCTATATAGAAGCAAGATTATTGGGCCAATGGTTATGTAGCAAAAATATGTTAAGAGCTACTGCCACATAGCCCTACTAAGAAATTTTATCAATTTACTCTTCTACCAAGAGTATTTGAAGGGGTACAATCTTTTGAGGGAAGTCTTCCTTAAGAGTGGGAGACTGTTGTACATTGTTGAGAATTTGCCTCTGCAATAATTTGTGTTTTTCTTTAATGATTTCATAGATGTTGGTCTTTTCTCCCTTAGAATGCTTTTTTTTCTTAGAGGCTGGGATCATGTTATATATTTCTTTGGTATTTCCCACAGTGCCTAGTACAGGCTGGACAAACTGTGGATGTTCAACACATACTTAATGATTGACTGATAAACCTGTTAATATTTTTGGGCTACACAGTCTCTTATGTCAGCTCGTGGAATGAGAGGACTGGGCAGAGTCAAATACTAGGGATGAGCCAAGTCAGGATCAGATGCTGTCACCTGAACATCATGTTTAAACCATAATCTGGGAATCTAATTTGAGTAAAGCACTTAGTACAATCCCTGCTACAGAAGGCATCTTCAGTAAATGGTGTCCACTGCTGTTATTATGAATCTTGTTTAATGAGAGGGTAGTCTCAGGGTTAGGGTTGAAGGTTCAAGCATAGCACCTGAAATCATGCCACGTGGATTCAGAAACCCACAGTCTAGAGATGAAACCAAATGGGGACCCAGCAGGGGCAGCCAGCTATCAGAGGCAGAAACAGAGGCTCAGTTTTGAGCAGTTCCGTGGCATTGTGGGGAACACTTTTCCTGCCACCCCAGGTGGTCTTTATTGTGCTTTCTGTATGGTTGACTTTCATGCATGCAACATCTTAAAGGTGCTTCACACTTTCTGAGATGAGCTACCAATCCCAATCCAGTGCTTGGAACACAGGCGGTGCTTAACGAAAGCCACTGCTTCTGTCTCTCACTGTTGAAACAGACAACGTGGCGGCAGTGTGGAGGATTCACAAGGCAAGAGAGTGCTGCAGAACAGGCACTTGATTAGATCAAGATTATTGCCTATGCTTTTTCTAACCAGGGGAAAGCGTGGTGAATGACAAGTTTACACAAGCTACTAAATAGCACAGCCAGGACTTGAACCTAGGTCTGCCTGCACATCAGGCTTGTGTGCTTTTCACGGTATGTGCCATCCTGGTTCTTCTATGTCAATGACACCAGCCCAGGCCTCAGGCAAACAGATGTTGTTAAAGAATACTAGCTGGCTATGTGTGGGCAGGCAGGTGCGTGGTTTCTTTGCTCATCCATTCTACAAATATATACTGTATTTATTTATAGCTGCAAAGTAAGGCAAACCTACAAGTCAACTAGGTGGGGCAGGAAAGAACATAGGCATGGTGGGAGGCAAGGAGACTTGGGCAGGTGGAGGAGCCATCATTAGCTGGAATGCAGGCTGAGGGCTTGATGTTCTGCATGTCTGTTCTTGGATGCAGTACTGAATGGGTCTCTAGGTGACTGTAAAAGAGATTTGCTGGATCAAGCTCCAGCCTAGTGATGGCACTTAAAAATATATATATATATATATATTTTATTTCAAAGGAAGAGTTACAGAGAGAGAGAGAGGGCGAGACAGAGAGAGGGGGAGAGAGAGAGAGAGAGAGATCTTCCACCTACTGGTTCACTCCTGAAATGGCTGCAATGGCTGGGGCTGGGCCGGGCTGAAGCCAGGAGCTGGGAACTTCATCCACATCTTCAACGTGGGTGCAGGGGTCCAAGTACTTGGGCCATCTTCCTCTGCTTTCCGAGGGAGCTGCCTTCCTCTCCACACTAGCAGGGAGCTGGATCAGAAATGGAGTGGTTGGGACATGAACCTGCACCCATATGGGATGCTGGTGTTGCAGGTGGCAGCTTTACCTGTAATGCCACAACTACAGCCTCCTGAAAGACTGTATCTTTTTTTAAAATGATTTATTTATTTATTTATTTATTTATTTGAAAGTCAGAGTTACAGAGAGAGAAGGAGAGATACAGAGAGATCTTTCATCGGCTGGTTCACTTTCCAGAAGGCTTCAATAGCTGGCGCTGGGCTAGGCTAAAGCCAGGAGCCAGGAGCTTCTTCCAGGTTTCCTATGTGGGTAGTAGGTGCGCAAGCACTTAGGCCATCTTCCACTGCTTTTCCCAGGTCATTAGCAGGGAGCTAGATTGTAAGTGGAGTAGCTGGGACACGAACCAGTGCCTACATGGGATGCCAGGGTGGCTTTACTCACTATGCCACAACACCAGGCACCTGGGAGACTAGTCTTTTTTTTTTTTTTTTTGAAGGGCAGAGTGGACAGTGTGAGAGAGAGAGAAAGGTCTTCCTTTACCGTTGGTTTACCCTCCAGTGGCTGCTGTGGCCGGCACACCGCACTGATCCGAAGCCAGGAGCCAGGTGCTTCTCCTGGTCTCCCATGTGGGTGCAGGGCCCAAGCACTTGGGCCATCCTCCACTGCACTCCCAGGCCACAGCAGAGAGCTGGCCTGGAAGAGGAGCAACCGGGACAGAATCCGGCGCCCCGACCAGACCGGGGGCGCCGCAGGCGGAGAATTAGCCTATTGAGCCGCGGAGACTAGTCTTAATTCTAGTGGTGTTTGAAGAGCTTATCACATGACTGTAACTCCCCTTCAAAAGAATCAACATTGGGACTGTCATTGTTGACAGAATCCCATATGAGTGCTGGTTTGAGTCCCAGCTGCCCCACTTCTAATCCAGCTCTCTGCCATGGCCTGGGAAAGCGGCAGAAGATAGCCCAAGTCCTTGGGCCCCTGCCACCCACATGGGAGACCAGGATGGAGTTCCAGGCTTCTGATTTTGGCCTGGCCCAGCCCTAGCCATCGTGGGAGTGAACCAGCAGATGGTAAGATCTCTTTTTGCAAATAAACAAGATAAATCTTTGAAAACATTAAAAAAATTAAAAAAACCAAGAGTTAATACCAATTTGGATGCACAAAGTGGGAGATTTGTTGAAAAAAAAAGAGAAAAGGAAAAAAAATCTGTTTATAGTCATTATTTATTTGTGTGTGCATTAAGATTTTAAAGATTGGGGGCTGGTGCTATGGCATAGGAGGGTAAGCCTCCAGCTATGTTGACGGTATTCCATCTGGGCGCCGGTTTGAGTCCCGGCTGCTCCACTTCTGATCCAGCTCTCTGCTATGGTCTGGGAAAGCAGTAAAAGATGGTCCAAGTCCTTGGGTCCCTGCACCCACGTGGGAGACCTGGAAGAAGCTCCTGGCTCTGGCTTCTGATCGGTCCAACTCCGGGCATTGTGGCCATTTGGGGAGTGAACCAGCAGAAGGAAGACCTTTCTCTTTGTCTCTCTCTCTGCTTTTCTCTGTCTATAACTCTGCCTTTCAAATAAATAAATAAATAAATGTTTTTTTTTTTTATTTTTGACAGGCAGAGTGGAAAGTGAGAGAGATAGAGAGAAAGATAGAGAGAAAGGTCTTCCTTTTACCGTTGGTTCACCCTCCAATGGCCGCGGCGGCCGGCGCACTGCACTGATCCAAAGGCAGGAGCCAGGTGCTTCTCCTGGTCTCCCATGGGGTGCAGGGCCCAAGCACTTGGGCCATCCTCCACTGCACTCCCGGGCCATAGCAGAGAGCTGGCCTGGAAGAGGGGCAACTGGGACAGAATCCCGTGCACCAACCGGGACTAGAACCCGGTGTGCTGGCGCCGCTAGGTGGAGGATTAGCCTAGTGAGCTGCGGCGCCGGCCGAATAAATAAATGTTTTTAAAAAAGATTTTAAGGATTACATAAAATTATGTAATTACCTAGAAGGAAGTGCTATGGAATATTGGTTCTTATAAATTTTCCTTATTTTTCTTTTAGTGGTGAGTACGAGTAATACTAAATTGTAATAAAATAAACCTGACTGACATAGCCACTTAATCCTAGAGGGAATGTGACCCAGAGCAGGGAGGGGCAGCAGTAAGGAATGTGTTGCTATGACACATCCATTCCGGGACTCCCCAGGCTTCACCTGCACCTGAGCTATGGGCAAAGTATGTTCGGGTGCTGCAGAGGCCTATTTGTGACTCCTCTCTAGTCAGAAGGATGGCAGCTGGGGTGACTATGCTATTCCTAAGAGCGTGTGATACACACACAGGCTTGGGAATCTAGAGAGCCGATGAGGCTAAGGAAGTCCCTCTCCCGTCATTCCAAGTATGTGTAATACCGACACCTTCCACAACTCAGAGAATACAACTGGAGGCAATGGAACAGGTCATACACTTCATAAGGAATAAACTCATGGTTACAATGAGCATGAGTACTAAGGAATAATAGAAGGTTTATAGAGATATACTTTCCTCTACAAATTAATTATCATGCATCTGTCTCGTCAGAGAATTACCCGTGTTTTTTAATCCGCTAAAATTTTTATTGAAGGATGCTATGAAAGCGTCAAATGTGATTATCATTATGTAGATTTCAGTTTCATTTCATGATGGACCCAAATACTGTAAAGGAGAAATAGTTCTGGACCTTGTATGTGGCCCTTCAACCAACAAAAAACTGCCTCAGGAAGAGCTTTGGAAGTCTCTTCTGTACGAATCCCAAATGCCCTCACCCTAAAGAAACTTGTATGGAGCTCAGGAAAACCTAGGCTGGTGAGGTGGGCTCGCATCCCCAACGGTGTGGCGGGTAGGAAGAGGCCACTTTCAGTCTCTTCTCGTATTTCCTTACATTTGAGAGGCAAGAGCTATACCAGTGGGAACAGATCTTGTACCTCGGAAAGTCCACTTATAGGAGAGTGCTGTTGTCCTCCACCATTTTCCTCCTTCCAATCTCAAGGCTTCCCAAGGTTGAGACTCTTCTTGGATCAGTAGCAATGGCTCGTGCCAGCAGTGACTGCAGAGGTGTGGCAGAAGGAAGGAATTAGTCTGGTTGGTGGGTGGAAATTCTGCAGTGAATTCCCCCCCCCTTTAATTATCATAAACTCTCCAAATCGAATAGAGATTGATTGCCAAGCTTCTTGACAATCTTTACTTCATTACCTACCTGAGAGAATTGACGTTTCTCTCTTAATACCAATTATTTGTTTTTGGCACTGAGAAACTCTTCTGTGTTCTTGGGGACAGTTACCCTTTCAACTTCCCTTTTCTGTTTGTTTTGTTCTGAAAGCCTTACAGATGGAGGCCAGGGTGTCGGGGAGCGAGGTGGGGTCCTTGGCTACTGAATGGGACTTGGGAGGCAGAGAAACTGTCTTCACGCCGCTGAAGGGTAAAATCCGGAGTTAACGGTTGATTTTAATGCAAGAGGGCTGGAGAGGCCCAGGGCGGACCCGGTTTGGGGGGAGCACCCGGATCTTGAGCTAGCCTCGCTTCAGCATCTCACCGCGTGTGAGGGGGGAGGCTGGCCCCCGGCTCCTCCTTGTCCCGCCGGCACTAGCTTTCCCCTCTGTCTCTGCCTAACTATATCACTACAAGACAACACTTCACATACTGGTACTCCGACCCCAAAGAGAGGCTGGCAGTGGCTTGGCAGGTGGGCAAGTAGCAGAGAGATGGGTGGGGGAGTGGGCGGAGGCATCGTCGAGTGGCGTTCAGAGTTGCCAATGGTAGTTCGGGGCAGGGGCGGTAGGGGCGGAGGCGCCGAGGCCGAGCAGCCAATGGGGCGCGAGCCACTACTGGAGCGACCTGGTGACGTGAGGAGCGTTCCATTTGGCCAGCGGTGGGCGGTTGCCACAGCTGGTTTAGGGCCCCGACTGTTGGGCCCCTTGTCAGGAGGAGGCAGTCTCCCGGCTGGGGAGAAGTCCCTGCCACCTCCGGCGGCGGACGCGGTCCCCTGGGACTGCTCACTTCCTGCCCTCAGCGGCTGGCCGAGTTCGGTCTCCTGGGTTCAGGTAACGAGGGGTGGAGGCTGGGGTCTCCTGGGCTCGGCTGCATGGTGGGTTGCCTCCCCTTCGGCAGCGCCGGGACGCAGAGGCGCCGGCACCGCCCTTCTCAACTCGGCAGCCGCCGAGCCCCTGGCCCCGGGGTGACTACACGTGGCGGGGCGTGTGTGAGTGTGTACGAGCGTGTGGATGCGTGTGCGTGTGGACGGGCGCGCGTCCCGACCTGCCTGGGGCGGTGGTCCGCTGCGTGGCGGAGGCAGGGCGGGCCTCCCGAGGCCGCGCCCGCGGCCTGGCGGCGGACTTGGGCCTCGGGGCCCCGGCTGGTGGGCCGGTCGCTGCTTCCCGGCGGATCTGATCTTTGTTCTCTCGGGCCGGGTTCCCCTTCCTGGTCGTTCTTCTCCCGGTGGGCCAGTTTATCAGAAGGAGATTGTTTTCCAGGTTAGTTTTACACAAAGGAAGTGTCTTCTGCACCCCTGGTGCCTCCTCCCCTTTCTCAAGCCTTCTCTCTTCTCCTTTCTCCCGCTCGGCTCCCGGTCGCTCTTTGGACCCTTGCCCTCTCCAGACCGGGAATGGTCTCCAGTTGATCGGGCTGCAGGCTTCCGCCTCGTTCTTGCCAGCGTGGGGCATGTGGTATCAGTAAATAGAGGCCACACGGCACCACACCTGAGAGCGGAGGGTGGCAGTGACTGAGAAAGGCTAGGCCTGGGAATTCAGGATGCTGAGTGGAGATGGCACTTAGGAAATGTCCCAGAAAGCGCCCTTAACGACTTTTCTTAGCTGCTGTCCTCCCCCCGCCCCCACTTGCCCCCTAAATACCCATCATCAAACGCCACCCATTCCAGAATATCTGTGCTTAAGTCAGCCTTTCACCTTTGGCTGTGTGATGTGGTTTCATTAAGATTCCCACAAATGTTAGATTAGACCAGCGCAATTGTTTCATTTCCTGGACTCAGGAAGTTACTGAGGGGTTCATTAGGGGAAATCTGTTTCGTGTAAATACAATGCTTGTGTGTGCACAGTGTGTCCAGAACCTCCCAGCCTGGCCAGAGGCTGGCTTGTTCCCTGGTGTGATTCATATTTGAGTGGCAAATTGAAGAAAGAAGGTGAAGAAGTGGAGGAGGGGAGGGAACGGCTCCTTAAGGACAGCAATTCTACTATTATTTTCACAGTCCTCATAAAGAAGATTGGAGAACATTGTGGTATAGTGGACAGTGCCCTGGTCAGCAGACATATTTTCTTGTCTCAGCTGTGCTGCTGTGTGACCCTAGATAAGTTAATTCCTCTCTCTGGTCCTCAGTTTGTTTATAAAACAAAATAATTGGGCTGTCACCAATAAGATCTCTTCTAGTTCTGAGGTTTTTTGATTATCAAATCATCAGTATTAGATTGGAAGCACAGAGGTTTATTTAAGAAGAAATACCAGCCCCCGTTGTTTTTTGGGGAACCTTTAATCACTTCTCCTTTTAGAGGCCAAACAGATTAGAAATAAACTTTTCCCACTTCCCCATCCCCGTGCCTTCAGGTAGTGTTCATGTTTCTGGGAGAGGAGGGTTTAAATATATTTTCTTATTCCTGCTTCATTTTTGGTTTTTGTTTATGTGCTTTTTTTCTTAGGAGTAGAAACTGGACTTTCGATGATGCTTGACCGAGCAGCAGCAATTGCAAACAACGTGATTTCAACGCTGGGCCCAGCCTCTGTTTCTTCTCTTGTGTAAATCACACAGCCCGTTTGGGACCGGGAATCCCAATCATGTCTGTGATGGTGGTGAGAAAGAAGGTGACACGGAAGTGGGAGAAACTCCCGGGCAGGAATACCTTCTGCTGCGATGGCCGTGTCATGATGGCCCGGCAAAAGGGCATCTTCTACTTGACCCTCTTCCTCATCCTGGGGACGTGTACACTCTTCTTCGCCTTTGAGTGAGTTTCCGTTGCGTAGAGCTGCCTGATTAGGGTTACTTTGGATTCAGGGGGTAAACCTGCTTTCTGGGAAGTTTGTGGCTAGTCCTTAGATGACTTTTACTGTCTTCTTGAGCAATCTCTATAGATCACATCAACTAAATTCATTGCTTGGTGGTTATAGCAGAGTATGTGCTTCCCAAAGAAACAAACAAACAAACAAACAAAAAAACACAAGACCTTCCATGCCAATTTTACAGCACCAATTTGGGGCTACCCCTGAAAAACTTGGGGGATGAGAGGTGGCTGTCTTAATTATTCACTTCCCCATTTCAGTCTTTGCCTTAGGAGCATCGTGACATATTGCCCCCTGTCCACCCATCCTAAGCCTAGGGGCACCCCTCATTGTTAAAACACCACCCAGCAACACTCACCTATTCTGTTATTTTGAGTCTTATTTCCCTAGAGCTCAGCCTCACCTGGCTGTTAAATTGAAAAGCCAACTGCATTGAGAACCTGCAGATTGCTTCCAGCTGTATCACAAGTTAGCTGCATGCATGGCACATGTGTGCTTATTAAAAATGAGTTGCTCTTTCTTTCCCTCGAAGTCATTCAACATAAACAACTCTCTGTTCTGTGTATGCCTGATACCAGCCTTGAAGTTATTTTTTTCTGTGATGTAATACTAGCTAGTACTAGTGCAGCTGTTTGAAGTCTGTGTAGGCCACTGCTCCAGGGAGGTGGCCAGTTGGATTCTAGGGCACTGTGGCACGACTACTGGGTGTGCTGAGAATGCTCTACACTCTAGGGATGGGAGCAGTGCTAATTGTTTTGGGATTACTGTGAGGAGGGCCTTGAGGAGCCGAGAGGTGTGCATGTGGACTTTACACCGCACCTGATGTGAGCCTGCTATCGTTCATGTATGTGGGGGGTCTGGAAATGGAGCTCCCATACTGGGGTGTGGCCTGGGGAGAAAGGAGGGGGTTCCTTGGCCAGCCTTTGTGGCTAATTAAAATGAGCTCTGATCCCTTGGGGCTCATTTTTGTCCTCTGTAAGGGCTTCAGGCTTTCCCAGTGCATCCAGAGTGATTTTCAGACTGCTTTGCCAGACTTTTTGATGGTTGCAGCTGGCTTGAGTAACAGCAGGGGGAGGCGGGGGGCCCGGTTTATAACAGGGCTGGGAAAGTAAGGTCAGAGGAGCTCTTTGTTAAAGGCTCTTTTGCTACTGCTGCTGCTGCTGCTGCTGCTACTGACTTTGTGAAGCATTGGGTGAAGTTGCACTGGTTACTAAAGGCGTCTTAGCTGCTTTCAGTCTAAATTTCATGGCTGAGTGTGTGTGTGTGTGTATGAGTGTGTGTGTGCACGCACATGTGCTCCTGTGTGGTACCAGTGAGCATGTGCAGTCAGGCAAGCATATGCATGACAAAAAAAAACCATTTTTCTTTCCTTCTTCTCGTCCTTCTCTGCAATTTTTTTTTTTGCTTCATTTCTGCCTTGTTTCTTCTTGGAAGTACAAAACTGTACTCTGTTCTCTATCACTCTCCCTTTCTCTTGATCTTTTTGTCCTCGTTCCCCTCTATGGTGAAATGTTTATGACTGGAACCATTCAAAGCAGAGATGAGATTTCTTTCCAGGCTCTGAGTGAGTTGATCATTCTGAGCTTGAAACCTCTGCTTTGACTGACCAGGGGAACTTGGAATTTGGAGTTATTGTCATTTGGCCCTTTTTGTATCTGGGAGTCAGTGACAGAGTCTGATTTGGCTCTGTTCCATTTAGGCCTCTAAAGAAATCTGCCCATGGGATGAAGCTCGTAATTAGCCAAGTTACTGTTTGACAGAGACAGTTGGAGTTTTTTCCCAAGATGGCCCCCCTGCAGCCCCCGCAAATTATGTCTTGTGCTGTGTCCGCCGATATGAAGGGCAAGGTTGTTTGTAAAACTGCCCTGAGTTCCAGCTGCCTGTATGCAAGAGTAAATATTTTTGAAGATAGGACTGGGGGAGGGCATGATGGGAGGAGGCTGAAGGAAGCAAATATGGTAGCTGAGGAGTGGAATGGGGAAGTATAAATCTTACCAAAGAGGAGGGGACCATGGTGATGAGGCTTTTTGACTGTGACTGGTGGAATCTGTTTGTGAATGTCCTCGTGTGTGTGTGTGTGTGTGTATGTGTCTGTCTGTCAAATACAGACACACGGACACTACAGGTGGTGGTTGCCTTCTGCCTAGCCAATGATAGGCGTGCCTCAGAGGAATGGAATCTTTTCTTAATTGATCACCTTCTTCAGAGTCTATAATTCACCACCAGCCACATAGTGGAGGGTAGGGCTTTGGGGGGCAGAATATGGGCTTCTTTGTTAGCATTAGAACTCAGTGAGGGCGCCAGCGCTGTGGCACAGCGGGTTAAAGCCTCAGCCCGCAGCCCTGGAATCCCATATGGGCGCTGGTTCTAGTCCTGGCTGCTCTGCTTCTGATCCAGCTCCCTGCTTAATGGCCTGGGAAAGCAGTAGAGGATAGTCCAGGTGCTTGGGCCCCTGCACCCACTTGGGAGACCCAGAAGAAGCTCCTGGCTCTTGGATTCGGATCAGCTCAGCTCCAGCAGTTGTGGCCATTTAGGGAGTGAACCAGTGGACAGAAGACCTCTTTCTCTTGCTCTGTCTCTACCTCTCTCTGTCATTCTTTCAAAAAGATAAATAAAATAAATTTTTTAAAAAAAGAACTCAATGAGACTTCAGGAAATCAGTTGACCTAGCCACCTGTCTTCGAAGTGGGAGAAGGTATTGGAATAAGCAAATGGCTGTCCATTTTCATCCTTTAGTTGTCTAGGAGTGTAGATTCCATGTTCTCTGGCTGCTACGTTTTTGCCTTGTGGGAAGATAGTGCAAATCTTGGGACACATCTGGACCTACATTTTACCAACAGGGTCTGGCTTACAGCAGGTGCTTAGGAACAAGTGTGAGTTGATTTATAGCTGCCCGTGGCACAGCGCTGGGTCAGCCAGATGTCTTGAGAAGTCTGGTCAGACATATGGATGCCCCTTAATGAAAACCATACACTGTTAGTCATGCCAGTGGCTAGCCTGTCATTCTGAGCTTTTCCAGACCTAGACTTTTCATAGGAGCGACCTGTGATTTTCAGTGGACAGGCAAAAGGTTGACTGCATACAGCAACACCAAAAGGGTGTTCGGCGCGGAGCCAGTGTGCTCCATACTGTTAGAAGTGTTTGTAAAGATTACCAGTAGGTAGTTGCATTTTATATCATGATAAACGTATTTCCATTTAAAAGCAGAGTGAAGATCGTATAATGCTTTAGAGAAGAAGATTTCTAATTAATTCTGAGGGCGAGGTCCTTGTATTTGGGAAGTGTGAGTGTGTATGCCAGTTTCAGCTTTGCACACATGGACTGTTTGTAGTCTTTTTGGCTCAAACCCAGTCCGGCTTGTACGCTGACCGCACAGCTACCTGGTTGGCCTGGAGTGTCACGACACTAGCGCAGGCTGACAGTGACAGTCTGTAGCTGTCCAGCTCCTGAAAGGCTGTTGTGGTATTTAGTCACATTCAACTTTCTGATGAAGTGTGCTCTGGAGGAAAGGGCCAAGTGCACAATGTCTCCTGGAACTGGCTTCTGAGCTTTTTCTTTTAATTTGCTGACCAGACCTCTAGGGGGATCATGGTATTCAGACTTCTCTTGTGGCAAGAACTACTGTGTGACTCTTGACCCTTGAAATGCTTGCTGCTTATCATCAGTGCTTATGCCCTCACTGTGCCATATATGGAGAAAATTGTATCCAGGCACTGTCAGATGAGTTTCTGTTGGGCTGGTCCCCATGGATACTTTTATTTATTTTTTTAAAAAAGATTTATTTATTTATTGGAAATGCAGATATATATATATATATATCTTCTGTCCGCTCGTTCACTCCCCAGATGACTTCAATGGCTGGAGCTAGCCCAGGTGGAAGCCAGGAGCCAGGAGCTTCTTCTGGGTCTCCCATGTGGGTGCAAGGGCACAGGGACTTGGGCCATCTTCTGCTGCTTTCCCAGGCCATTAGCAAGGAGCTGGATTGGAAGTGGAGCAGCCAGGACACGAACGGTGCCCATATTGGATGCCGGCACTGCAGGCCATGGCTTAACCCACTGTGCCAAAGCGCTGCCTCTACCTTTTTTTTTTTTTTGACAGGCAGAGTTAGACAGTGAGAGAGAGAGACAGAGAGAAAGGTCTTCCTACCATTGGTTCACCCCCAAAATGGCCGTCAAGGCCAGGGCGCTGAGCCATTCCGAAGCCAGGAGCCAGGTGCTTCCTCCTGGTCTCCCATGCTGGTGCAGGGCCCAGAAACTTGGGCCGTCCTCCACTGCACTCCCAGGCCGCAGCAGAGAGCTGGCCTGGAAGAGGAGCAGCCGGGACAGAACCGGCGCCCCAACCGGGACTAGAACCTGGAGTATCGGCACCGCAGGCAGAGGATTACTCTAGTGAGCTGCGGCGCCGGCCTGCCTCTACCTTTTTTAAAAAAGATTTATTTATTTGTTTGAAAGGCAGAGTTACAGAGAGAGGGAAAGAGAGAAAGATTGACTTTCCATCTACTGGTTTACTCCCCAAGTGGCTGCAATGGCCAGGGCTGGGCCAGGCTGAAGCCAGGAGCCAGGACCTTTATCTGGGTCTCCCATGTGAATTCAGGGGCCCAAGAACTTGGTCCATTTTCCGCTGCTTTCCAAGGTGCATTTGCAGGGAGCTGGATTGGAAATGGAGCATCTAGGACTTGAACTGGTGCCCATATGGGATGCCAGCACCATAGATGGTGGCTTAACACCCTGTGCCATAGTGCCGCCCCCCACCATGGCTGCTTTTTGGTGTACGTATTGGCAGAGGAGTCATTGAATTGGATGAATTGAGTAAAGCTTCGTAACATTGCTTAGTAATCGTTCCACTTCTCCTAGCCTATCCAAATTCTACCCCTTTTTCAGTTCTTTTTTTTTAAGATTTATTTTTTATTTGAAAGTCTGAGTTGAAAGAGAGAGAGAGAGAGAGA